CTGTGTCGAATTGTTCAGTAATCGACAAAAGCTGGATGATTTTTGCACTAGTTTTTGTACATAATCCTGCCCAAAATTTCTATGTTTAATTCCGCTGAACGTTATGTGCATAATTTCCCAGATTTTTGTATAAAAATCGCTTTACATACAGCTTTTCTGGAGAAAATTGAGCCAAATTTTTGCAAATTTTTACTCGACTTTTACACACACCCGTGAGGTCGAGATCGAGCCACGTTTTCACCGTGAAGACGACATAAAGAGCTCCCAGTTTGATTGCAGATTGGATTCAATTCCATTAAAGTAAACTCCCCATCGATGTCTGGATCGAATTTGGGGAAAGCAAAGAAAAATCGGGTAGCTAAACTAAACTACAACTTCTACTGGGCGGGGAGTGAGGGTTGTGCAAAAGAATGTGACCCATTCTTCACGATGGTCCCAAATGTGCGAAAAATAGTATAAAAATTGGCAGTAAACCGTATATTCATACCCAGTTAAAAATCCGGTAGTGGTATTAATTTGGTAATAACTTCCTACCGGATTGGTAATAGTTTGTTTCTGCCTGGTAAATTTTTTGTTACCACGACATTACTGAACGGTAATGCCTCATTGTTACCAGTGTAGGCAAGAGTCATATGTGTGTTCTAGTCAGTAATAATTTAATACCAGTTTTCTAATCCTAAGAGTGTCATTAAAGAAAGTAGATCGTCTCAAATTCGACATTTCGACGAAGTTGATATGTCAAATTTACGAGGATCCACCTCCTTCGAGACGGAGAAGGCAAGTCGTAAAAATTACACATGTTTCCCCTCCCCACACTCCGAGGACTCGTTAACACGGTCAAGTTTAATTTGGTAATGACAGTCGTACTGAAAGTGCGACTTTATTGGCAAGCGCGCCGGATTAATTTATCTTGAAAGTTACCATTTCAGTTCAAGATGTAAAAAACGAGAGAGAGAGAAAGTTGTCTCCCGAAAAAACGGGAACTTTCTCTCCGACTTTCAGCCCAGAGTTGGATCTAGTCCCAGCCTTTTGGCAGTGTTTCGTTTCTTGTGGGTTTACGACATTTGAGACAGCAACCAAGAAATTCGAGCTGCAAGAAACCACATTCTTGCCGTTATTTCCTACAGAATAGACTGACTTTAAACCGCACTTGTTCCAACCTTAAACAGGTTTGGTTTCTTGCGTGCTTATAACACATCTTGCTCTGCGAAGTAGAAAACCGGTTGGAATGCGAGGTGCAAGGAACTGGGAGAAAGTGCTAGAAATACGCGCAAACAAGCCACGCGCCGTATAATGTACACAGGGGAGGGCGCGCTGGTGGAAACGATTTTGAACAGACGAGTAATGTGTCCTAATCAAGGGTTGTGCAAAAAACCTACTCCCTACTTTCAAAAATGCTCGTCTGTTCAAAATTTTGACCTGCTAAGACAAACCGTTCCGGGGTTATTCAAGACCAAAATCGTTTCCAGCAAGGCGCCTTCACCTAAATGCCGGCGGGAAACGCCTTGCATTTCTTCCAGGCCAAAATATTTACCTGCAAGAAACCACTTTCTTCGCGCTATTTCTTGCGCGTGGATACTTCCCCGCGAAACCCTGCTTTTTAGGACGGACCACTTGAAACCCTTCGTGGAGGTGAATCTATCTCGAGTGAAAAGTCATCCAGTTGATGACGTAGTTTGGAAAAGAGTGACGTCAAGGTGAAGAGGTTTCAGTGGGAAGTCGGCCTTACATATCCGTCCATCCAACCAGACTAATTTCTACGCTGCTCTCCTTCTCATCCACTGCGAGAAAGTAACCTCAACCAAGCTAAACTCTCTTTCTGCTTCTCGGTCAGGGGGAAAAGTCAGAAATCCAATTTTGTATAAAAACCCTTCCCCACGCGTATGCATTATTCGACCACACCGCAAAATGGAGAGAGCATGAAAAGTTAACCGAGGAAAAGTAATCGGGGGGATTGCGTAAAGTATGGGATGATTTTTGGCCCAAATTTTACACTGCTTTCACTTTGACATACGAGAAAGGGCTGTCTCCCTCGTGTACAAAGTTACAATGGAGGTCTCTCAGCGTATGCTCTCCGATTTTCACCAAATAAGTGTCAGCCGATGCCAAATTTAATTAATGCTAAATTTGCAAATTACATGAACTACCAATGCGCAAGTTTGGCAGAGATATTTGCATCCGGAGAGGAGAAAACGCGAAGTAAGTTTGGAAAGTTTTAAAATTTTTGGACTTAAAGGTGGGTTTTTTGCAAATTCTGCCAAACATGCATATTAGGAGATCATGTCTTTCGTAAATCTTAAACGAAATATATTTGTGATCGATTAACGATAATTTGCTCAAGATACGCTGGAAGACCTCGATTGTTAGGTCTGGACTAAAATTTTACGAGACTTTCCCTGTAAGAGGAGGATGACCTACTGAAAAAAGGATGCGTCCTTCCTGCACAGACTGTAACTTAGTTTAGGACTGGTTTAGTGGTATAGGCGGCACGATTAGGAGGAGCTTCATTTTAGGCCTAGGACCGACCGGGGTGGGTGTGGGACATGGTTTCTTCTCTGTAGAGCCAGTTTCACCGGAAGAGTAAATTGGGTGAGTTTTTGGCTGCCAAGCATCCGTCGTCCTTTTGGTGTCTTTACACTGTTAAAAATCTAGCAAGAAATTCGCCCCTGCTTTCACCAATCGAATGCTAGTCCCGCAAAATTTGGACTTCATGAGAGAAATTATTCATTATGGTTAATTCTTTCGGCGTTTGAGGAGGTTTTACTTGAAAAGTAGTCTTTTAGCAGGATGTTATTGAAGTATTACCGACCGGAGTGCATATATGACTTTAAAGATATGGTAATAGCACGCATTACCGTGTAGTAATGAAGTACACTGTTATGGTGTAATCAAAATTTACCACTCAGAAAAAAGCTATTACCAATCCGGGAGAAAGTTATTCCCAAATCTATACCAGTGCGGAGTGTATATGTAAATTCATCCTATTTTTAGCATTGTAATTATATTCACCTTAATTATTTTCATAAATTGATAGTTGATGCCGTGGAAAAATTACGTAGACACATTGTTAAAAATTAAGTACTTTGTTGGGCATTATTTAGAGTGAGGAAGGACTGTATAATGGAATAAAGTGGTTGAGCGAGATGGGTTCAAAAGGCAATAAACCTTTTGTTCTCTCGCTTTCCATATGGTTGGCAGGTTGCCTTTTCTCCAATATTTTGCCAAGTGGCAAGGACCCTGTTTGCGTATCCACACGTCCTTCTCCGCGAGATCGTGTATACATCATGACAGAAAGTGGACTACAATTTGCAATTTTAGCCCTTGGAGAAAGTAACTCGGAGAAAGCACGTTCACAAATTTTTGGGGAGATCCCAAGTGAAAATTTGATCGGTAAATCCTACCGAAATTTGGCCCAATTTTGGCCCGAAAAATTTCATACAGAGCGATTTATCGAGAATACTATGCACATACCGTTCTGCATAATCAAACATAGCGAAATTTTCTGCACGATTATGTAAAAAATACAGTATCCATCCATCTTTTCTCGATTCCTGCCGATTTCTAAACACCGATTTCTACTCGAGATACAGAAATCTACATTAATTTCTGCGACTTTGTGGAGAAGCAGGTGAAAAAATGGGGTTTGTTATACACACCATTTTTCGCATATCGACCTAACACATTAGCGTACTTTTTGTACTTAACTTCACCAAAGAAAGGAAAGCAAAGTAGGCAGAGAGAGAGGAGCAGAGGAGGGGAGCAGCCTGCTACTGACTGCTCATCTCTCTCTCCCTCTCGGGAGATATTGATCTGACTCTCGCAGTGAAAGCAGCATGGTCTGCGAGAAAGAGAGAAAGAGTACGCGAATCCTGGACTGGACAAAGGAGGAAGAAAAGCAATAAAATGGAACGACGACATCCCTCCACATACAATCGATACAGGAGGAAATTGTTTTTTCCTGATGCAACCAAAATAATGCTGGATTTTTAGAGGGACACATTTCCACACAGGAATTCCGCTAGGTCAGTTAGTCCAAGGCACACGTGTCAAAGTGGGGAGAAAAAGAGACCAGATTTTCACCCATTTCTTGGTTATTTACCCGAGTAGAAAGTACTGTGTCGAATTGTGAAGTAATCGAAAACAGTGGAGATGCATATTGAATTTTGCATATTTGTTTTTACATAATCCTGTAGAAAATCTGTTTTATTTTACAAGAAGGTATGTGCAGTATTCTGCCTAGTTTTCTGCACAAATTGATTTCCATAAAGTTGTTCGGCACAAAATCGGATCAATTTTCTGCAGGAAAAAGCTGTTCAAAGTTTTTCTCAGTTTACTTGAAGAGTAAAATCGGCCCAAAATATATTTAGACTTCGTTTTCATCCCACAAAAGTGAAAGTGCAAAAATAAATTTTAATCGAGTAGAAGTGAAAGCAGTTCTGTTTTTGGCATGTGTCGCTCCCCCATAAAATGACGTGAAAGCAACGCAGCGCAGTTATGATGAATGAAATGCAAATGCAAGGTTGACAATTCGATTAATTTAGAACCTTTGATCCAACCTGATTTAGTCAACGACACAATTTCTACGAGAATCAAATTACCGAGAAAAAAATTCTAGGTTATCCGATTCATAAGTTGGAATAATTTTTTCAATGATTCCTTAGAATGCAATTTGCTTAAAGTTGTAATTTCTCAGATTCATCATCCCACATAAATTGGAAGGATTCCGTACTTTCACTCGAGTGGAGACTTTCTCTTTTTCGTCATCACCGTGATTAGAGACAAAACACGACATCAATGATCCCACATCACACGTGAATTATTGAGACGCGGATGCAAGCCGATTACAGACTTTCATGTTTTTCTAACCTTTCTCAGCCCACACCCAATTTGGAAAAGTACAGATTTTATACTTTTTAAATGTAAAACTTTCTTCTAATTTCCTTTAAGAAGTTGCCATCCTACTTTTTAATTAAAAATAAATAGTGAAAGCATTTTTTTACCTTAATCCTTCTCCTCCTTCTTCTTATAATTTTCTCCAAGTAGTTGTATCCTTCGTTAAAAAACTGGGAAATTCTAAGGTAAAAATCCTCCCCACAAGAATGGCGAAGCACCTTTTTAAACCGAGTAACTTGAGACGAGACGAGACTGAGCAGCAGCGAGTCGTCGGGTAGAGAGCGAGAGAAAGCGTTGCTTTCAACGTGAATGTATTATCCTCTTTGCTGGTGAAAGTATGCGAGACGTCTTTGTTTATAGCAGAGAGAGAGAGCGAGAGAGAAAGTGAGTGAGTGAGTAGGAGAAAGTGTGAATATCAAATGAAACCAAACAAAACGAGAGACTGGGAAGGAACGAGGCACGAACTTGGGAGAAAGTCGGGTCGAAAAAAGGGTCAAACGGGAAGGATGGTATACAATTTTGGATACATATTTACTAAAAATGGGTCGGTTCGCGAGACCAATTAAATGGTAAATTTTATAACCACTTTTTTCCCTTAGTTGTGTCCTTCACGCACAGCCCCCTGCACATCTGCACCACCACCCGCTTCATGCTTAGGTCGAGCAGAGAGTAGATGAAAATAAATGCAGTTGCGCAGCGTCCCCGTATTGATTCTTTGCTACGGAGAGAGAGTTTTGTGTTTGATGAGCGAACAGGATGCCGTCGTCTTCTCGTTGTATCTTATTTTCTATGGGGAAGAAGACCACCGTCGTGGCTGGGTAGTGGGTGAGTTAGTCTGCTATACTTGCGAATCTTCTTCTTCTTCCACCCGCACTTGAAGGAGGAGAAAGTCAGCGGAGTGTTCATCTTGAGAGAGAAAGAGAAAATTGTGGCAACTTTCTCTTCTCAACTTTCTCTCGGGTTGTGTGTCTGTCGCTCAGAAGGTGACACACTGATTGAGACATGCAAAGACAAGCGAGAAAGGGAGAGAGAAAGCTGGTCGGGTAATGAGAAACCGTGAGGTGATGGATTTTACTATGAGCCTCAAGATGTATCAATACAGATAAGGAGAGAGGAGTTGCTGAGTTTTAAGTAATGATTAAAATTTGATGGACGGAATTTTTTAAAAATTTGCGAACATTTTTCGTAATCTTTGAAAATCTCTTCATCAATATAAATTGTTTTTTGAGACAATTTTAATTAAGGATTAAAAAATGTGGCGAATTCTTGGCCTAAATTTTTGAAAATATTTGAAATGAAGCAAAAATTCGTTTTTAAGCGAAAAATTAATGATGATGTTTTTTGTAAATCTTAAATTTATGTAGAATTACATACTTTTTAGAAGCAAATTTAAGATAATTCCGTCACATTTTCAGAAATTTTATTGATCATAGTATAAGGTGTATTCGCAGACTTTGTTATGCAGAAAAATATACCACAAAAATTATCGCAAAAACTGACTACGCAGGAGTCGTACAAGACATGCCCCTAAACTTAAAAAATCGCAGAAAAATCGTAGAAAAATCGCAAAAAATAGTAGAAAAATAAAATGTTCAGAAATTATTGTAACCATAGAAACTATTTTATGAGTATTATGTGATGCTGATTTTAAATAAAATTATTATTATTTTAAGCATTATTTTGTATTTTTAGATGCCCCGGGAAAAATGGGGCTTCCTCCTCAAAAAACTAGGCCTGTCGTTATCAAGCATAATCTGACAATCTCTACTTTTATCCACGTTTCGTGACTCTGCAGCTACACGATTTTCTCCCAGATTTATAATTCTTGCCTGCCTCGTGTCGGAATCCTGAACATGTTCCCGTGCAAAACGCCCCATCTGAAATTACAATAGGACGACGACTGCATGGGCATATGTTCTTGAAAGGTTAAACGAGTCCGGTCTCTTCTCCAGACCAAATGTTTAACAGAACACACTAAATAATTCTGGAAAAATTACCTGTACCTGTGTGACTAAAAAGTGACATATTTTATCATGACTTGGGACTTATTTCCTGCCAATAATTTGCATAAATCCGTATTAAACTGAACCCTTATTACTTAATTTTAGTCCATTTTTTAGAGTACAAAAATAAAAATGAGACATATTTGGGCAAAATATTACACTTATTTCCAGGCAATAATTTGCAAAAATGTATGTAAATTAACAGAAAACTCGTAGCACACTAAATACTTATTGCAAAAATTTTAGCCCATTAGTTACAGCACAAAATCCCATTCTCGCTCTACATACTTATTTGTGTTACAAGATTAGCAAATTTTGCTAAAATCCGTAACCAGCTATATTTACCTCATTATTAAGAGTATATAAATACACCTCTGTCTTTGAAATAGTTCGTGCCGTAGTTATTTTGAGTCGGTGGGTGAAAGCACGAGCTGGGAGATGATACTTGAAAAGGGATTCCGTAAACTTTCTCTTTCTTCTTGGAAGAGAAGAATTCTGGGAATTCGGTGTTTTCCGAGAATCCTCCCAGATCGAGGAACTTTTGATCCATGCTTTCTCTCCTTTTCTGAAAGTTCATGTCTCGAGATGCCCCATGCGAATACGAGGCGAATCGTGGAGGACGACATCTCTGAAGAGAAAGCACGTCTCTCCGTGAGATGTGTTTTCTCGCTACACAGAGTTCGACAAAGTGACTGAGAGAAAGTTGCATTTCTGATGGGAAGCTCTGCTCATCGGGGTAATTTGAATTTTATTGATGTTGGTGTAGTGGTTAGAGTGTCATAATTTTTGTGGAAATTAGTTTTTCATTTGTATTTTTTGGTGAGAAATTCCATAAACTTTCGCTTTATTCTTTGAGGAGAGGAATGGTGTTTTCCGAGAACATTATACGATGCAATTTTGATGGATGTTTTCTCCCATTTTTGTGTAGGTTAGTTTGTCGAGAACTTGGCGAATATGAGAGGAAGCGTGGAGGACATCTCACCTCGGAGACGGGAGAGAATGTAACTTTCTCCCTGAAGCGAAGTGTTTTCTCGCTACACAGAGTTCGGCAAAGTGACGGAGAGAAAGTTGTAGGCCGCTCATTGGGGGTAATTTGGTTGCATAGGATTTTATTGGTGAGAATTTCATAATTTTTGTGAGGAAATTTATGTTTCATTCTTATTTTTGGGTAGGAAATCTACATTATATCCAACTTTGTGGCTTTCTTAATCCAAAAAGATCTCATAATTTTTCTGAGGAAATTTTGTAGTTAATTCTTATTTTTGGATATTTGAATTATCAAATTTCACCACTTTTTTAACTAAAAAATTGCAACAAATTATACATAGTGACATGACAGCATTCCTGTTTTTGGATATTTAGATTGCCATTCTATCCCGTTTTAACCCGGATTATTTCCAAAATCGCCAAAAATTGTCCATTTCATTTTCTATTTTATCAAATTTTGCCCAAAAAATCGAAAAAAAATTGACTCCAGTTAGTCTCACTCTCTTCCTTCGTCTGCGTACTAATTTGCGGATGTGGACTTAACATGTGGATGGGAAAGGAGGCGAGAAGTATGTATATCTTGAGACGGTGTGGATTTGGAAACAAATGGAGTGTAACGAGCAGAGTAAATAAATAAATAGACTTCTTCTCTCCAGATCAGGCTTGCGGGGAGGCATCGACACGTACAAATTGCTTCTCTGACCCAATTGGCGGGGTCGTCCAGGCAGGATTTCAACAACCACGAAAGGACAGGCCTGTGAAGCATTTACGTTTATTTATTTAAGAGAAGAAAGGTTACGTGGTGGACGTGTCGCGTGGACGGCCCTGGGAGAAATGTTCCTACAAAGAGAGATGATGATGAATTGCTTCTTGTTGACTTTGGCTCTTGTTTTTCAGCCTCATCAATCCCGTACGGAACAGGGTTCCAAAAATCCGATACGTTTCCAGCAGGAGGAAGACTTACAATGCGATAGTGTGAAGTGCAACACTCCGATTTTTTGGAAATTTTGGAATTATTAATTTTGAAATAAAATTAATTTTGAAATAATTATTAATTTTGGAAGGCCAATGTTTCTTGAGGAAGTTTCTGCGATGATAAAAAATTTCCAAAAATGATAATTTTTGAATTATATATGTAGTTCAGGCCAATACAAACCGCGTTACTTGAGGAATTTTCTGCAATGATGAAAATTTATTTGCATATCCGCCTCTGGTTATAAAACTGGGCATCAAACTGTCCACACGTTAATGTTTGACGACACCCTGTCCCTCCTTGAAGCAACCTGTCCTTTGGTCACACTCTGGCTAAATAAATGGAGAGAAAATAACAGAAAATTTACTCCTCTTCAGTTGCACAGGGTCTGTGTCGGGTTAGATATGAGGACAAGCAAGCTGGTTGACCAAAGCAAGACACCAAACAGAAGAAAATAATGATACTTGGGGGAAGGAAGGAGACGGAAATTGAGAAGGACGACGACGACACGACGAGCAATTAATATTATCCAATCTCAGACACCATTCGGTCAACGAGTTAAACAATCTGGGGAGAATTTGATCCTAAGAATGGAGGTCTCCCAACGTATGATCTCCGATTTTGAGCAAACTAGTGTCAAATATAAGTTGTATGAAATTTGCGAAAGACAGGATCTTCCACACGTTTGGCGCAGGTATTTGCATCCGAAGAGGAGAAAACGTGCAGAAAATTTGGAAAGTGTAAAATTTGTCGAAATTAAAGCGCGTTTTCTCCTCTTCGGATGCAAATATCTGTTGAACGTTCCCGTCGAGAGATCGTGTCCTTCCCAACTTTCTTACTAATTAAATTTGTCAGCGATTGACACTAATTTGATCAAAATCTGAGAGCATACGCTGGGAGACCTCCATTCTTAGAGGGAAAGACTTAAACTACTTTTCCGTCAGATTGTTAGTCGCAGTTTGACAGGATTTATTTACTTCGAAAATAAATGTAAAGCTTATTCTGCCCGGTAACACATTATTACCAGTGGTAATTTACCACACTGTTTATCATGTCCTCGCTGTGGAAAGTTAGCAAGGCAAGGTAACAATTTAATTCTTTGAGAATCATGTATATGAACGTCGAAGTGAAGCTGAGATTGAAATAAAGTAGAAAAAATATTACACCTTTAACATTTTAAAGTATAAAATTTATCAAAAATTTTGAAATGTTGCAGGAAATGTGTACGTGGAACCGGGAACGCAATAAGGATGACTTGCAGGCATCTCTTTCTCTCTCTTCATAGAATTTCCAATTAGCCAAAGTTGACAAAGCGATGGGACACAAGTATGCAAAGATTTTGGCACTCTAAAAAATCCAATCTTACTTTTGATCCTACTTAATTAGTGCCAAGTATGGTGACAAATTTAAAACTGAAGCAACTCACGTAGGCCTTGATA